TTGTAATATATAGCGCATCCCCTAGGTGGAAGCATACCACAGAGTTCAGGTCACGCGCTGTCAAGCAGGTTTGCTTCTTCTGCCTTGTTGCGATACATTTCGGATGTTGACATCCACATACCAGTGTTTTACTCTCGGAACAACACGCAATGCCGCCGTTCCAAAGACATATTGCATTTTTTTCGCATGGAGATGCGTTAAAACACCTTCAGCAATCTAATCGATGTAGATGACAACAGGAGACCACCTGCGAACGTTTCCCTGCGCGCAGTCACTGATTTCTTTCCTATAGAGCATGTCGGGAAGCAAGCTTCATCTAAAGGGAGCAGATGGCCCATTCTCCTGCAAATGTCAGGCTCCTGATGGGAAGCGAACCAGTTGCCATTGTGGAGGATGGCACAAGTCTTCCAGTCAACATGCCGGCGCAGCGATTCAGGTGCACCTACTCTGTGGATGCGGGCACCCCAGTTGGCCTTCACTCAACAGAGCTTCGCTACAGGGGGCAGTTTGTTTGAGATCGCCGTCTTAAAAAAGATCCCAGTTGGAAGAAGCAGCAGCAGCAAAATTGGAAAAGAAAACAATCCTGAATCACCAACTGAAGATAGGGTTGCTTCTCACGAGTGCAACGGCAGGTGTTGTTGTATATGTGGCGTGGCGACGTGCACACGTCTTGCAGCTGACTGTGCGTTGCTGGCATGCATCAGAGGACATTGGATGCCTTGGCCAGTGGGGTTCAACCATAATGAAGACTTTGGATGAACAGATACTGACGCCAGTCCTTTCGCCCTGAGGTTTATGTTGGCGGTGCCACTCGGCTTGGATTCGGGCTGGCAGAGCAAAGTGCATTGTCGGGTCATTGACAGTCCCTTCTCCGGTTTTGTTGTCAAGCCCAAAATGCGTTCTCTCTTTTGACACGGATGCCAGGGAGTGCTCACCAGACTCTAAGCATCTACGGCATGGTGAGGATTTTACTGGCCTGGCTGTTGCCTTTCGTTGTCCAGGCTCTCCATAGCTTTTTTGCGTGCCTTACCCGTGCGCACAGCCTGTGTAAGTGAAATAGTCTGTTTCAGTCAAGGTGAGCTGGTGCATTTGAATAGACCTATCAGGCAATCCATACTCTAGATGCATTTCACAGGCCAGCGATACAATGAAATTATCGGCATTACGTCATCGGCGGTCATCGGCTCATTTTGGCACTTTGTGCTTGGGCATGTGCAGGCTTGGGCTGTAAGAAGATCACTCCTTTTTCTTCTCCCAGAGACCGTTAACGCCATAAACCCAGAACACATTTCGCGTATTATGCTTGTTGAGATTTTGCGCATCAGGAATTTCAGCTGGGTGCATCGGCATGGCGACCTCGTGAGGACGCGGGTCTCGGCCTCATCCTGGATGTGGGCGACAGTCATGCTACGGTGGCACACCTGCGGCCTAACAGCATCATCGACCGATGGAACCGAAGGCGCGGCTTCCCCGGCTTCCCGCAAGCCGGCGAGATGTCTTGGCACAGAAAGCACGTACAGAGTCGAGGAATCAATTAGAGAAATTGCAATGCCTAATGCCAAGTGAAAGTGCTCCAGATTTACGGACAGCTGCCCAAACTGTTGAGTCAGGCTTGGAGGAATCCGCTTGCCAGTAAGTTGCTTGTGGCTTTTCAATTGATTGAAGAGCTGGGAGGAGGATTCCGATTTCAGTTCTGCTGATTGAACTCAACGACGTAACGCGATGCTTATATTGCATTTGCTATGCTATGATATTGTAAGAGGATGGTTGATTGTTTTGGGAAATCCAATTTGGTGGGTGGAGACAATTTCCACGACATCCACCCAAAGGTCCAAACATGCCGTCCGGTTTGCGCACAATCTCGGTGCCCAGGTGCGAAAGTGCTCGAGTTGCACCATGGTTGCAGTGGCTGCAACGGCGCATTGGGGGCTGAAGTTGGGGACCTCGTGCTTTTGAGGCGATGTTTTCTGGAGGGAGGGACAACCAGGGGAAGCCACGCGTCAGTTTCCCTAGTTTGAGGACGCCCTATGGAGCCTGTGCACCTCCATGATTGTTTGTGGGGTGCTTTCTCCTTACAAGCTGATACCCAGCTTGTGGTGAGGTCCGGACAATGGTTTGTTTCAACGGCATCCATGGACTTCATTGTGTCATTGGTGCCAGCTATACAAACAGCTCAACTTAGCAAAACCCTACCTCTAGCTATGTATGTTTGTTCCGCACAGAAGGTGTGTGTGTGTGTGCCGCTTTGTCAAACTGTGAAGGCACGGACTTGTTTACTGCAGGAAGCCCAGCAGAGTTGCTTCATTGCAAGAAGCAGGCGCGCAGCCATTTTGCCAAAGATGAGTCTGGGTATTTTTCTGACAGGTGTTTGCCTTGTCCCGAGCGTGCATCGTGATGTGGACTGCTAGAACCCTCCAAACAAGGCGGAAATTTAAACATCGCATTTTTTAAGTACAAAAGTAGCACAGGAAGTGCACTCCCGCAGCTCTAGCTTGAACGTGTACAGGCTTTTGAATAGCTAGATGCTGAGCAACCCTTTCGCGCCACAACAGTTTAATGACCGAATCGTGATGGGTATATTTGGGCAAGGGCCGCTAGCTTCAGCTTTGGCAAGGGCTTGGCGTAAGTTCTTGCACCCGGCGTTTCAAATCGCTCCGCTCAGTCTCCAAAGGTTTGGAGGAATCCGCTGTCAGGCCAGTAAATCGCTTGCGGCGTTTCAAATGAAGGGCTGGGAGTAGGATTCTGATTTCAATTTCTGCAGATGGGATCAACCCTCTTTGTGTGGCATAGAAAAGGACATCGGAGCGACTCTGGGTTGCCAAAGTTGTTGGACAAACTATGCCCGAATTGCGAGTGTGACAGCTTGCTCCTGCACACCTGTGACTTCATGGCAGGTAGTTTGGCTGACTGATACGAGAAGCTGCTCCATGTTTGGCAAACAGACGCACACGTACGCTCCTACACAAGTGTCTTGGAGTCGCAACTGAGGTGCGGAAGGGCGATGTGCTGCTCGCGGTGGACGACATTGCGAGGCTGTGGCCATGGCTAAGTGCCGATCTGCGCGCAATTGGGACCTCGCCAAGTCCAAATCCTCAAGCTGGCGACGTCTGTTTTTGGTGTTGTAGGGTTTTAATATTCTTCAAGTCGACGGAAGGCGTTGCAAGGGTCGCTGTACGCAGCCTGGGGTCATTGCTGCTCAGGATGCATCAAGAACCATGTCGTGCGTTTCAGTTGGGGACTTGTCAACCGCCAGGCCGCCCATGCAGTTGGTTGCCGCGATGCACAACCACCGACCTGGCTCCTTGCGCCTGACGCTCACCTATGCGCAGCGCCGCCGGCTTAGAGCAGAGGCGAATAGGCGGAGGCTGCGGAGGTTGGGGCTTTGATTTAAGAAGTGAGGAGGAAGAGAAGTTGTTTGTCTCGCACGAGTCCTGGTTTGCAAGTGCATTCAGCAGAGAGGTGCCGATGAGCTGCTGTCGTCGCGCCCTGCGAACCAGGAGGCATGGGTGGGCACATGGACGACAATTCCGCCTTCAGAGCTTTATGGATGCCACAAGAAGAAGCCACATACCGCATTCTAAGTATTCCATCTCTGGGAAGCATGACCCTCCCGCCTTGATCCTCTCAGAATTTCACACGTGACACATGTGAATCCCTTATACCTTGGCAGGCAGACTCTTTCCTGGTGCGAGTGGAGTGCTGCACCTTGCCATGTTTTCTGGCTCGGTTTTCGTGAGATTGTTTCTGTGTGTGTGTGTGTGTGTGTGTGTGTGTGTGTGTGTGTGTGTGGGTGCGTGCGTGCGTGCGTGCGTGCGTGCGTGCGTGCGTGGGTGGGTGGGTGGGTGGGTGGGTGTGTGGGTGGGTGTGTGTGTGTGTGTGTGCGCGAGTGTGTGACCTGCTGCGTCTGTGTGTGTGTGTTGGGGGGTGGAGGGGGAAATGCTTGCGATGTTCCTAGTTCACTCAACTCAACCAAACCAGGGGTAGGCCAAAAAAGATGGACTTGCTGTACCCAGGTTTGTAGGTTTGAAGTGCCTTGTCTCTGGGGGGAGTTTCTGCAACCGTGGCTTCTGGGTGAGGTGCGCCCGGTTGTGGGGGGGGTAAGTGTTGCAATGGCAAACTTGTGCCTTGAGACTCGGCCACCGAGGCCCTGAAGAAATCGAGGAGCGGGACTTCCGCACTGACCTGTGACTGGCTGCTGAGCCACGGAGCGGAGTGGCGGTCTCACCATGTCAGTGACGGGGTGGCGAATGACCTGACGCGCCAGAAAGCTTGGTTTTGCGAGCTTCGAAGTTCAGTGCGTTTGAGATTCTTTGGCTCCCCCGGCACATCTTAAATCTCTCAGGTCAGGACCCTTGAAGCGAGCACTATGAGAATCCCATTGATATCGTGAGACCGTGCGCGGCAATTGATTGGATTTGTGGATTTGCTTCGGACTTTGGGGCGTCCCAAAATTTGCAGTGCTTTGACCTACGCTAATGCCGTTTGCGGGATCTGCTCTAAAGTTGTGCTTCAATCCAGTGGACGCCTTGTTTGCCACGGAGCAGCAAGATGATGGCCTTCAAGGACTCTCTTGTTGGAGCGGACCGCGCAAGACCTCGCAATCTTCTCTAGACAGGCAAGCCTAATGACTGCTGCCGCTGTGGCACCCGAAAAAAAGTCCTTTTCGTGCATTTCGCCTGTTGATGTTGACGTCACCGATGTCACCGAATTTTGGTTCGAGGCTTGTGATTCAGCAAAGCTGCTCGTGAGTTTGCTCACGCACGCACACACGCACGCACGCACGCACGCACACATGCACACGCCGCACACGTGCGCGCACACAGGCCTTTGGAAGCGGGACTCGGGCTGACGTAGTTGTGCAGGAACTGGAACCCGTCGCTCGGAGGTGCAGCAGGATGCGGCATTCATTCCAGCCCAAGTTCAATTCACCCGTCTGTTCAATTTTGACGGGCTGTGGTCCACACTTTTGTCTTAAGCTTCCCTTCACCTTAGCGCGACAGGCCTTTCGCTCCATGAGCTCGCTTCAGCTGCAGCCGAACGAGGCGGGAAAGGTGAAGCGCCAAGGCGCCCAAAGGCGCCGTGGTTTGCTTCTTGCATTCGTTGAACACGTGAGCCAATCGAAACCCCGAGCCGGGCGAGCAAAGTGTAACAACTTTGGCCCAACGAGATCCGAGGCGCATCGGCCATGTGGCACAAAGCTCCTTCCAAGGCTCCATATAAGGCCTTCATGAAGCACCAGAATGAAACTCCTTACAAAGCTCCTTGGCCCTTACAATCTGTTTGTAAAGCTTTAAGAAGCTTATAAGGCTGATTAAAAGGCTTGTAAAGTTCACTGCAATGCACGAGGGTGAAGCTCCTTATAAAGCTTCCTCTGGCTCCTGACAAGGCTTCTTGTAAAGGTCCTGATAAGGCTCCTTACTCCATGAAGCTCCGTATGGAGCTCCTTTCAGGCCTCATTGTAAAGCTCCTTAGAAGGCTCCTAGTAACATTTAATTGTGAATCAATATCAGGTAAGAAGGATATGGTTCAATCGTAGCTTCCATTCTGAATGAGAACATGAAGAAGAATCCTTTCCACATATAGTTTCAAACAATAATTAGACAACACGTAGGATTCGAACTCAATTGGATTTTTGATCTGCGATTTGGATGCAAAATAGAATGTCCATTCCAACTAGAGTTTAAACGCGCGTGATTTTCCATCGCAAAGCTCTTGATAAGGCTACTTAAAGCTTCTTTTTGGGCTCCTTATGATTTATCAGATTCCTTGGAAAGCTCCTTATCAAGCTCCTTTTCAGGCTCCTCAAAAAGCTCCTTGTGCAATTCCTGTTCTTAAAGCTGTTTGTAAAGCAGGCAGGCGAAGCAGTCACAGCTGCAGAAGATGCCTGGCAGTGAAGGAAGCGGCAAGTTTTCAGCTAAAATGGTGGGTGCAGGGGGGCATATACACACATATATATATATACACATACATATATGTATACATATATATAAATATATCTATACATATATATATATATACACGAATCTAAAACCAAGGCATTCCGACCATGCTGCACCCGAAACAAAGACGTGGATGCAAGGGAATGCTCAAACGCCTGTCCATGATATTGACACTTGTCTATCTTACGCTTTGAACACGCGCAAACAAGTGGCACACGAGCTCGGTTGACAATGAGGGTTTCGTCTAAGCCAATCGTAGATGGCTCTAAGCCAAGAACAACTCGGTTGGCCCCAAACCTTTTCTATCCTTGTCACATCTTGCTCCTGGCTCTTGTGCAAAGACCCCGAGACCTCACTCGCATCATCGCAACTTAAACATGGCTGCCCCAAGCTTTCTGCTGGACAAACTGTATGGTTGGCTGTTTGCACGCATGCAAAGCTATGTTTGAGCGACAAACCTAAACATCTGGCGCCATGTGTTTTAACTGCCAACAGGCACGTGCCATGTGTCTACACCGATTCGAAGTTTATTTGAGCGACACACATGACCACTTGGTGCTAGGTGGTGTCGCTGCTGCAGGGTTTCCCTGGAACGACAAACGACATCATGTAATCTTTTTACACTATACGGAGTTATCTTTGAAACAACCGTCAACATTTGGCTGCACGTGGCTTCACCATTGCAGGATCTCCGCGAAACAGCAGCCACAAGGATCTGGCGATATGTGTTTACTCTGATGCGAAATGTTACTTGAGCAATCTGGGGGAACCCTGGAGCGAGAAACATAGCTCACTTGGTCTTATGGGCCTACACTGTTGCAATTTTTTCTTAGAGCGACGAACGTAAACATTTGGGGCCACGTGTGTTCACTGCTGCTGCGTTCCCCTTGAGCGGGAAGCATCGCCATTTGGCGTTACAAGTCTGCCGCTGCGAAGTGTCTGTTGAGCGGATGCGGTTGACGCCATGCATCGCCACTGCGGAAGCGCTTTTCTTAAGCGACGAACATGAGCATTTGGTGCCACTGTTTCCTTGCATCGATGACCAACGAAACCAACTGGAGCCACATGTCTGAAGCTGAAACCGCCCATTCCAGAGCACTTGTCCTTGCATCAGGTCACTCACACTGCGCTTCTGCGTGGGGTTGCCGAGCCTGCACTGAGTATAGCGTAAGGAATGAATATAACAATAACTTGGAGGCGGGCCAGAGGATTTCTTTGCAAGGTGTGGGTTGCGCAGAGGCAATTGTGATGTTGACCCTTGAAGTTTAAAGTTTTTGCTTTAGCCCCGTCTCTCTTGCCACGAAAGGTGTCCTCTTTTGGGCCTCTGGCCTTGCACATTCTGGACATTGTTGAGTTGTGAAGCCTCAAGCTGTGTACTGGTGTGGCTTGGCTCAACTCTTCGGAGTCAGACACTGTGAGCTTGGTGACTTGGATTTCGATTTCCATATCACACAAAATGCCGCCACGCCATGACTCATGGGCCTCGGACACTTGTTTGAGAACTGCACCAAACCGCCCAAGCGTCGATGTCCTTCACTGACAAGGCTCTTGCAAGTCTAGTTCTTGGGGAGAACACGGACAAAGGAGATCGAGCATTTGGTGCTCAGGGCATTTCAGAATTGAAGTTGTCTCATTTAAGATGAGAACCTACCATTGAAGATGCCCCAACAGGGATGGTACAGGCTGCCCATCCCCAATTCGGCATGAGAGTCAGAGCCATGGTGTCACTGCGGGAGCCAGGCGACGCTCAAAAGTCAGCCCCTCGAGACGGCTGAGGCGCCTTCCTGCAGGCGAAGCAGCTCCCAGAGGCCGAGAGGCTGGCGGATCGAAGGCTGAACCTCGCTGAAGCCCAAGACGGGAGTGATATGGCTGTGGGTCAAAACCAACAATGGTTCCATTTTGGGGTCTATGTTAATGGGGATTGGGATGTTCACCTGGGGGTACGATTTGGATTTTGACCCATGGCCATATGGCGCCCTTCGCCTTGTTCGACGTTGACATGGCGGATATGAAAGAATGCAATGTGATTGTTTGAATTGAAGGTAACCGTTTGTTCAATGGAATGGACTATCACGATTGTGTACATGCATGTTCGCAGGTATGTATATGTATGTAATATGTGTTTGCGTATGCACATGTCTATGTATGCGTGTACTGGTTTGGACACGTACAGGTACAAGTACATTCATGTGTAGCATGTATTGGCTTGCCTGCAAGATACACCAGCGAGCCCAAACGCAGAAAAGCCGCGCCAAGGCGGCCATGGGTGGTGCTCGTTGCTGAGGTGGGCTACACACTCCTTCTCGACGCCTACGCCAGGCACAGTGAGCATGCCTCACCGTACCTCCCATGCATGGCTACTGTCTGCCAATATGCAAGGGACGTGGTTCTGCAGCATTTGTGAGCTTTGCAGGTTTTCACGCCGTCTATCGAAAAACACATGCCTGTGGCAGCCGACTTGCAGATCCAACACTCTCAGAGACTGGCTTTGTGACATGTCACTTCCTCTCACCAGTTTCTCTGCAAGCGTGCCTTCAGTCTGTGCACGGTTTGTTTTACTGTCCAGAATGCGAACACTGTATTATTCCTCAACTGTTACTCTGTTCTCTGCTTGCGGAATACCCGTAGCAATGAAGCAACGATGGGACAGAGTGATTTCAGAAATTCTTTTTGGACATGATCCTTGCAGGTCAGGAAAGAAGGCAAAGGCGGAGCTAGCCTTCCAGTCGCTTTGCAGCAAAGGGTCATGGCCTGAGTGAGATGCGTTTCTCTCGTGCAACATGCGGGCGTGGTCATTGAGAAGTCTGTGGTCCATTTGGAAGAGAGGGGAACCTCCCGAAATGTCCCACCAAAAACCTGGGGACTGGGTCAATTTTCCCATGTCCAGTTACAGACATGGTATATTTTGGCCTGCGATCATTGCCGGCAGGCTGGTGCCAAATCTGGCTACTTACACCGCCCTGATGAAGGCATATGCGAAGGCACTGCCAGATGGCCGTGGCGGAATCTTGTACCTCATGTATTGGTGACAGAGTCGAGACATCTCGGTAGGACTTCAAGCTCCTAGATTGGTCTCATCAGCAATACCTTGCATGCTTCATGCGTCGGAGCAAGCAGGATTTTCTTTGTCAGGCTTTCAAGCTGAGAAGTCATCTGCGAAATAACTGGCCTTTGCCCCCAATGATTCATTTGTTGTACGCTGCCGCTGGCTTGAGCGTGGCTTACAACGGCGCCTTGTCTTTGGGCCTATCTGGGGTTGCGTCGTCGTTTGGGACAAGCAACAACCCCTTTAACAAGGCAAGCGGCGGGTGTGATACTTTCTGTTTGGCCCTCTCACGATGTAAGTTGTGAATTTGGCTCTGGGGCATGGTGCTGGAAGTGGGTGATGGACACCTTTGGCAACTGCGAGTTTCCCTTTCAGCTGACCCATGGTCACGCATTTCAACGACTCTGATCATCTGGTTTCGGGTGGGGTGGGGGGGGGGAGTGACAAAGATTCTCTAACACATAGTCCGCAGAGAAAGTTGAACCACACTGACAGGGACAGGCCCGCATCCAAAACTGCCTCTCCTTGGATTGGGGCAGTGGTCGCGATGTCGCTTGATCCTGAGTTCTTAGCTGTTTAGCTTTCGCCGTGCGTCTCAACGGGAAACAAGACTTTCTGGTGCTCAGCAGGGAGTGAGGGAATGAACCTGGGGATCCCCTTAAAGGAAACAAGGCATGGCTTACATGAGTCCTTCCCTCATTCCCTTCCTATCGCAGCAAGAAGAGAAGCACCTGCCATGGCTGGGAGACGAATCCATTGACCTGGCGAGGCTCGGGACCTGCAGGGTGCTGAAGCTGTGATGAGGCGTCTCCAGGACCAAGGCAGGGCGAAAGGCAGTGCCAGATGCGTGGGGGTTGATCAAAAGGCTCTTTGCGTGGGATGACTCGCAGTTTATCCTGCACTGATCACTTGCTAGACCCCGTGGCTTGCTGGCAGGGTGCTGTCGCAGGGGTGCGCTGAGGGCGGTGGTGCTGTTGCGAAGGGTTCTGCCGCAGCGTTCTGTTGGAGGGGGTGA